CCTTTATTAAAGAGACCCCAGAGAGTGCCCTCTTCCCTTTCACCATGTTCAGACTCAGAGACAAGGTGCTATCTATGCAAAGGAAACAGTCTCATCAGTTGGCAAATCTACCTAAGCCTTAATCTTGGATGTCCAGTCTCTAGAACTGTGAGAAAAAATTTTCTTTTGTTTATAAGCACTCCAAATGGACTAAAATACAGATGTTATCAAAGCAAAGCAAGTCTTCTTTTGGTTTGTAGAAATATAAAAACATATATGCCAGATATATATATGATGTGCACATATATAATTCATATTTTTAAAATATTTTCTCATTTACAAAAGACTCACCCGGTATTCCTTCAGGTAGTCAGTTCTTATACCATATTTTTAATACTGAGAATTCCACCATGTAAAAATTCCACTATAGCAAAAGCACTTATATTAGTAAAAACTGTTTTGTTTACAAGATTTAGAAACTCAATTCTAAGTAGCTTAAGCAAAACAAATAGAAAAGGGTGGGCGTGGTAGGGGATGTGTGTCAGGAATATAAAAGATATTCTTTGAGTATTGAAACTTTGAAAGCTTACCTGATCTATCTTATACTTATCTAGAACATCAATTGCAAGCACTGTAATTAAGGAACTCTAATACAATAACAGAAACACAGAAAATTGTTACCATCTCTAATTTTTGGCTCAATGTACATTATATTTGTATCCACAAGGCAATGCTGTGTGCTTCAACAGTATAACCACATTCTCTTCAAATTAAAGTGCACATGTCTGATCTGTATAGTTCATCGGGACCAGTTTGAAAAATTCTTAGAGGAGTCAGCAAGCAGGAGGGAGCACAGGGTATTAAGGATGCAATGATGGTATCCTGGACAAGAATGTTAATGCATAAGATACCAAGATTAGAAAACAAAATAATACTACAATGAAAATAGACTGGAAGATGAGAGTAGACACAAAGATTCCAAGTCAAAGGTTTGTTCCTGGAGCAGAGGTGTGGGCAACATCCCTTATCCATGTACCTTTCTCCTTCCTATGGGAAAACAGTTTAAATCTGTGGGAGGGAGCATGGGATAGGAAAAGGAGCCATGAGGTTTAAGCTCTTTATTTAATGTCCAGTGCTATTTAAGTGCCTCCCAGAGCTAAGAGTTTCCTACTCGATAGCTCAGTTTGCACATTCAGGGCAGGTAAGGGCAGTTCTGTAATAGCATCTCATTAAAATTCTGTAACTACATACCAGACGTCTCCCTGCCTACTGAACTCTGCATCCCTGATAAGGGCTGGATGGTCAAGTTTATATGCCCTGTACCTGTATTGGCTAAAGAAATAAGCCAATTCAGAATTATATTGCTAAGAAAAATAGAAAAGCAAAAAAAAAAAAAAAAAAAACCCAGGAAACTACTGAAAAATATTTTTAAAGGGCAATTAAATTACCATATATTCAGATCACAATGGTAATTTACTTAAATCCAGCATCCAAACAAACATTTATTGATCATTTACTACGTGCTGAACACTGAAATGACAAAGACGAATGTGATATGACGCTCTTCTTTTAGGAAGCTGAACTTTTAAACTAGTTACATGGAAATCCAATATGGGGTCAAAGGGAGTAAGAAGAAGGCAGATTTAAAATTGTAAGCATTAAATTACAGAACACTCTGGTGCTCCAGTGAGACTTACGTTTGATAGGATCTCACTCTGCCAGCCAGGTGCAGAAACAACTGGTACCTTTCTCTTTCCTTTGAGGGAAGGTTCTCAAAGTTGTGGCCATCCAGGCTGTCCAGCGACCAAGTTTTCATGTCTTCTAAATCAACCTGCTGACAGTGTCTAAATGCAGAGAAAATACTTGCTCTGCCCACACAACCCCAGATTCTGCTTCAGTGGATTTAGTCTCTCTTTAAACTTCTGATGTGACCACATCATGCTAAACTGGACCACCTGTCTTTGTCTGTTCAGGCTGCTATACCAAAGTACTGTATATTGGGTGGTTTATAACAAACAGAAATTTACTTCTAATAGTTCTGGAAGATGGAAGTCCAAGATCAAGGTGCCAACATGGTCAGGTTCTGGTGAGGCCCTCTTCTGGACTACCATCATCTCATTGTAATTGTATACTTATATGGTGAAAAGTGGGCTCTTTGGGGAGGTCTCTTTTTCTAACAGTGCTAATCCCATTCATGAGGGGCTACCCTCATGGACTTAATTACCTTCCAAAGGCCCCCATCTCTTAATACTATACTTTTGAGGAGTTAGGATTTCCACATGTGAATTCTGGAAGTTTACAAACATCCAGACCCTAATACCACCACAGGAGTTAGAGCAGCGCTTCACGGACATTAGTGTCCACAGCAATCCCTGCAGATTCTGTCAAAATGCAGATTCTGATTCAGGAGATCTGCGATGGGGATTAGTGTCCACAGCAATCCCTGCAGATTCTGATTCAGGAGATCTGAGATGGGGCCTCAGATTCTCCCAAGCCTCCTGGAGGATGCTGCTCTCGGGAGGATTATACTCAGTCACAAAGAGTCAGGGGACAGCAGAAGGCTGTGTTTGTCCTTCTCCATTTCCCGGCTGTCCACCATGCCTTCCCTTCGCTAAAGTTTGATGAAAGCAAAGAATTCTGAGTAACTAGCCACGCTGTGCACAGGCATTAAGGTGTCTTCCTGACCAGCTGTCTTTGGAAATTATTCATGGGAATTAAAAACAAAATCTTTTCCTCAGTCATCACATCGAGGGCTCACAGAAAGTGTTGTGGGCCAGAGGTAGCTTCCCAAAAAGAAGAGAAAGAAAAAGCCCAACACAGAGGCAAATGGACAGCTCCACCCCGCGTCCCTGTTTGGCTTAAGCTGGAGGCATTTTGGCAACTCCTCGACTGTTTTGCAGCTTCTGTGAGAGGAAATCTCTGTCCTCAAACCAGGGGACTCGGAGGATGTTCACTCAGGAAGTTCCAGATTCCTCTAGGCTGTGTTTTTAGGATTACAGCGGAAGACACAGTTTAGGGCAAGAAAAATTTGCCGCGCCTTTACATCTGGGTGGGGACGTCAGGCACCCTGGCCACCACCGGCGCCGCTTCTCAAGTCTGACAGGAGCCTGAGGTGTCAGAGGACGAAGAGACCGTCCGCCTCGAGGCGCCCCAATGTGGCACGTGATTTACCACCAACCCGTATCTCATCCTTCTCATTCTGAAAATTAAGCCACCTCAAAGCTGAGAGAGGTTATGCTGACTGAAAACGGCAACACTACCCAAAGTCATAGTCTAGTCTTTCCAATGGCTCTGAAGGAAAAACCACAGGCAGGCTTTGAAAAGGGGCCAGCGTTACGCTCCAGCTCGGATGCTGGTAAGTGTAAGGACCGCCCCTACCCGGCCCCTAGACCCCGCCCTTAAGGGGCAGAGGGACCGTCCTGGCAGGCGTGGTGGCGGAGATAGACGGGAACCACTTCCAGGTTACAGTCCCGAAGCGCGGCAAGCACTTCCGGAGCACAGCACATCAGGGTCATTAAAGGTCAGCAGGCTCTGAGGTAAAGGTGAGGTGTGCAGGTCACGCTTAAAGGTACATAGAGATTAATAAGTTCCTCTCTAGTACCCGAAGATAACATGACTCTAGCCGAGAAAGTCTTGCCCGCGTTCGAGGACACTCCGGTCAAGCGGCCTACCGGCACAGCGGGGGCCGTGTTGACCCCAGCAATTTAAGTAGAGTCGTAGGCAGGGCTGACGCGGTGACATCACAGATCTGCGCGGGGAGGCGGAACCAAACTTTCCGCAGGACCTTCCTGGGCGGGCTCTCAGCCTGCGGGGCCCGGCCCTGATAGGCGGAGCCGAGTGGAGTGACGGGCGTGCCCCGCCTCCTGGTTAAGGCGGGCGGGGTAGGCAGCCTAACACAGAAGGGCTCCGGGCCTGCGCTGGTATGACGGGGTTCGGGAGGCGGATAGGCGGGCAGGCGGGCGGGCGGGCCCGAGTGTGCTGCCTGGGGCTGATGCCGAGGCAGTCGCCGCCCCGCCGCCCTCGAGTTGCGGGAGAGCACTGGGCCTGCGCGGGCTGCCCTGGCTGACTGGAAACTGAGGAGCCTCCCCCTCCCCCGTCCCCATCCAGAGAAGTGGTGTCAGAACCTGGGCCCGCCCGGCGGTGACCAGAAGTCCGGCTTGCTGAGCACGGGCGCGGCCGAGCCTCCTCCCCGCGGGCTCCCGGCCAGTGCACCTGCAGCAAAGGTCCTGGTCCTGAATTGGAGGCCCGGGCCCTGCTCCCGGTCTCAGAACCCTGAAGAGGGCTCTTGGGTTCCCGAGCACGCCCTGGCGACCTCACAGTGGGCACCTTTGGAGAGGGGTCGCGATGTCACTCCCCTGGGCAAATCGTGCCCACAAAGGCATAGGAAAACATAACATTTTGTATTTAGACGGGCTGCAAAGTATAAAGTAGTGCGGCTGACATTTCTTGGAGTCTTCAGTTGCTTTTACCTGTCAGGACCCCAGTTTGAGACACTTGGCAATGACGTGTAACGCCTTGTTGAATAGTGGCTTATTTCATTGTTGAGTAATTGTGAATACTAGTGTTTAAAAACAAATACGGATGCGCAAAAGAAATGGGGAGAGAAGCAGGGACCTGCATTTGAAATTTAATAATGGTGTTCTTACTAACAGCGTAGGTATTGTTCACTTGGAAATTGATAGAGCCTTTAATTTCTCTTTTCAGGACAGTAGTGACCCACCCCTTCTTGCATAAAGTTTCAAAAGGTCAAGAAAAAAGACCATGTGCCTTGCTAATTGGAATTTCTTGCTAATGAATTAAATAGTAAATCGCACAATCTATGTACTGAAAAAAATATAGAATGTTCAATTTAAAAAAAATTATAAGACTATGGGGTCAAGGTGAGAAGGGAAAAAAGTTTTCTTTGAAAGATTCCTGTGTTTAATTAGAATTCATTGAAACGACTGTGCTTAACACAGAGAATGATACATTAGTGGAAAGCCTTGGAACGATGATCAGCATAACACCACACCACACAGTATGCCAGCATAAACTATACCAACTTACAGCATTTTTGTTTTTTTGTATTGCCAGTTCCTCAGCTAGAATGAAGCACATCAACCTGTCGTTTGCAGCGTGTGGATTTCTGGGCATTTACCACTTGGGGGCAGCATCAGCCCTTTGCAGACATGGCAAAAAGCTCTTGAAGGATGTCAAGGCCTTTGCTGGGGCTTCTGGCGGGTCCTTAGTTGCTTCTGTCCTGCTGACAGCACCAGACAAAATAGAGGTAACTAACTAGTAGCTAAGCTGTGTTTCTCATCAAGAAATTAAGGCTAGGGGCAAAAATGAGTGTTGACTTTACTAAGTTAATTCTGCAGAGAAATAATCCTTTGCCTGAGAAACAGAAAAGGCTAAGCCTTTTAAATTTAATCACTAGGGATCATGTGCTTTGGCTTTGACAAGATTATGTTAGTTGACAGTGAAATAAGAAAATAAAATGCCTTACTTTACTCTTGACTTTTTATTTATTCTGAAGATTCCTTAAGAATCCTTAAGATTCCAGCCCTGTTCCTTTAAAGCAAAGGATATTTCTTCTTTCTGTGATCATGAGAAGAGCTTGTAGCCTGTTTTCAAAGCCTTGAACACATGGCCAACAACTCTGTTCACTGGTACTTGTAAATAGACATATAAATCAAAATGTGGGCATGCAATTTCTATTAAGTAGAATAGTATGGGAACTTAATTTGTTTTTAATCCTCACAGTAAGAGGAAGCTCTGAGTTCCAAGCAGTTTATCCAGAAGTAATACAAATAAGCCTTAATTATGTATTTTATTTAATGTAATCTGTGTTTTAAAAATCTCTTTTCTGCTATCTAAATGGTGACCATTCGCTGACTGTGAGAGCTGGTTCCTTTAGGTCGGGACTGTCATATTTACTAATTACTTACATACGCTAATGGCTTTGAGCAATAATAAAAAACAATAATTTAACACATTCATGCCCAAGAATAAATTCCAGTCCCATCTAAAATTTCGGAACTGCAGAATTTTAAACATCAAAATGTTTTTCTCAAATCTTTTGTGAGCTCCTTATCAAAGAGAAGCTGGAATTGAGGCCAGTTATTGAGCAATCTACTTATCTTTACTTCCCGTGGTTGATATACAGAGACCTAGAGAAGTGATTAAAAACTGTAGAGATTATATAGGATGAGAATCTTAAATCAGGAAAAGTATAAATAAGGTGTGAAAACTCCCACCAAGTAGCAGAATGGTATGCTTAGAGTTGCAATGTAGCAGAATCGTAGGCTTAGAGTTGCAGTGTAGCTTTTTCTCAAAACTTTGTTTCCTTTTGGAAGCAGCAGGCCCCTGGGGGATCACTTCCTTCCTTTTGGTGTAGTCTTTGCTTCAGCTGGGCCAAATGCTGACTTTGGAGTTGGATAGACTTGGTTTCCAGCCCTCCACATATGTAGAAAGTCTTGTGCCATTTAGAATTAAGATGATTTAGAAGTACTGCAATAATACAGCTACTTACTTAACTGAAATTCTGTGATATTAAGACATTAAATAATTTGCCAGAATTTGAGACTTCATGTCGTATTTTCAAGTCAGGCTACCTGTTTTTAGTTTTGCTCTAAATTAGAGACTCTGTTTTATTGTCTGCTCATGTTGGTGTGATGAAAAGGTCTACCCTCCTATGGGAAGGTAGAAAATGATTTTCTTTATTTACTTAGGGCGTCCTCATTTCTCCTTTTTCAAAATTACTTTCTAGCTAAAATCTTTGGCTTAAGGTTACTTTATTTCCTTTCTTTTTAGCATTTGAAACAATCCATTTGTAAGATAGCTTTGAGTTATTTCAGCAATTTTTTTCTACCTACTCAAATTCCTGTTAGCTCAGTTCTCACTGATGGTGTAAGTTCCTCGAGCTTTCCACTGTTGTGACAAATGGGTGTGTAATTAGTCTTGTTCTGAGCCTTTGCATGTATAATTAAGAGGAGCACCTGATGCTGGGCATATTTTAGGTGGTAGGCAAATTTAGACACCGATATGGAAGAACTCAATGCTGCCAGGCCTTTCCTCAGCCCTTACAATTTGCCAGGGCATGGTGGGGAACTCAAAGGTGAATAAGTTCATGCCTGATAAGTTTACAGTCTGGCCAGGGATTTGGGCATTTGTGTCACTAAAATTCATACAAGGACACAGGCTAGGAGGGCAGTCCAGTATAGAAGAAACAGCACATGTTTGGGGGGCTCCCGAGTTTCTCACCTAGAAGCTTCCAATGGCTTCCTGACAGGTGGGGCTTCCCTTCCAGGTCTCTAGAGGCCACTCACCTGACACACTAAATGTGACATTGCCCAGCGGCAGATCTGGTCCCTCATTCCCCACCTACTGATGGGATGGCCGTAGGACAGCAGGGCCCAAGTTCCTAAGCACGCCTACCTCACAAGGCCTGCTTGTGGCTTTCCTGGATAGATGACGAGTTTCAGCTGTGTGCCCGTCTCCCCTTTTGCTGTTGTTTTCAATATCGCCCTTTTGTACCTCTATTCTCTGTCCAAGTCCTCTTCCTATTTAAGTCCCAGCCCAGAAGTTAAATTGCAGATGAAACTGTTGGCAACTTCTGAAGTTGGAAGTTAACACCCACTATGTTCATTGCCTGTTGCTGCAGTGACAGATGACCAAGTTAGTGGCTTCAAGCAATTCTCATGTATTATCTTACAGTTTTGGAAGTCATAAGTCTGAAAAGGTCTCTCACTGGGCTAAAATCAAAATATTGGCAGGGCCACTCATGCCCTCCAGAGGCTCCTGAAACCCGAGTCCTGGCCTTTTCTACTTTCTGGAGGCTACCCACATTCCTTGGCTCATGGCCACTCCCTTCATCTTTAAAGCTGTGAGGTCTTCACATCTCTCTAACTCTGACCCTCCTCCTTCCCTTTGCTGACATGACACCCAACCACATGACCCAGGGTCATCTCCCCATCTCGAGATCCTTAACTTCATCACATCTACAAAGTCCCTTTTGTCATAGAAGGTCTCACAGTAGTCACAAGTGGCAGGAACTAAAACGTAGACATAGTTGGGGGGAATAAGAAACTTTGATTCTGCTGATCACACACCAGTGCACTTGCTCACGGCGTCTGTGAGCCACTCTTGGAAGTGCTCATGAGTCAAGACCACATGTCCTCTGCATCTGCCCTCCACATCCCAGGGGCCTGGTCCGCTGCCAAGTCAGTTGCTGAATTAATTCATCAATTAATAAAAGACAAACCTGGGTTCAAATCCTGACTTTGACACTTATTTTTGATGAGTTGTAGGGATAGGCATTTAATCTTACCAGGTAAGGTGGTGCCTATGGCTCAGTGGGTGGGGCACCAGCCCCATATGCCAGTGATGGCAGGTTCAAACCCAGCCCTAGCCAAAAACTGAAAATAAATAAATAAATAAATAATCTCACCAGGTGTCAGTTTTCTTACCCTTTTTTTAGAACTGACAGAAGCAGCCAGTGTGGATGCCAGGTGTACACAAGATTCCTCTCAGGGACTTCTATAAAACACCAGTGGCCAACACTAATCTCTAAAGGCTCTGATTCAGTTATTTGCCAACCACATAACTGAAAAGTCCTATTGCTATTATTTGTATTGTCATCATTAATCATCTTCTTTAGACCATTGGAATCAGTGCTTCTGGGGGTCACAGAATTGGTTAATTCTGTTGAGGAAATTTATTGAAGAATGTGCTAAATTAGAATTCAAATTGAGCCTCCAGGGATTTTGCAGATGTAGACAAAGGCCATCTAAGGTGGTTCGAAGAGAAAAAAAAAAATTAGCAATTGTGAGAATGTGTAACTTGTCCAGGGTTCCAGTGTGGCAGGTGAGAGCCAGGCCAGGTTGGGGATTTGTGCACCAATAGTAGACCATGACTCTAAAGACTGGGGTCGGGGCTGGAGAATCCTGTGCTTTGTGTGACTGACGTAGAGTTTTGGAACTGGAATGAACTTTTTTACAGAGCAAAGGGTCATTTATTAATATTCTTTTTCAGAACTGTATCCAATTTACCTACACATTTGCCGAAGAAATCAGAAGGCAGTCTTTCGGGGCAGTCACACCCGGTTATGACTTCATGGCCCGACTGAGGTATATATATAGTACATTTCTCCCCAAACAGTATCAAGACAGAGTGCTGATGACCCTCTGTGCACATGGCAAGCCCAGAATTCTCTCTCCTAAAATGTTTACGAGTTGTTCAGTAATTAAAGGTGAATAATGTGGGTCACTTTTTCTTCTTTAGAAGCGGAATGGAGCTGATTCTTCCTGCCAACGCTCATGAGTTGGCCCAGAACCGCCTGCATGTGTCCATCACCAACACCAAAACCAGAGAAAATTACTTAGTCTCAAATTTCTCCTCCAGGGACGATCTCATTAAGGTAACAAAGCCGAGCTTCTGTCTGAGGTGGTGGGCTGCTGCTGACTTAAATACTTCATACAAGTAATGAGCTTTAGCGGTTTCTTGCACAGTTTCATGCGTTTGGTGCACTGACCCACCAGGGCCCCTCTGGAGGCCACCTCCACACTTGTTGTGACCTAGAGGCCGCAGGACTTGTTCAGTGTTTTCTTTTCCTGCTGACATGCAGAGCCTCAGAGTTCTGTAACTCACCACTTGAGCTGAGTAGCGATAAGCGTTCCTTGCATTACTGTAGCTGATAGTTTGCAGTTCATGTAAGTCTGTTTACACATATTCTCCTAATCTTCCAGCAGTCCTCCGTAAGTCAGTCACAGCAGGTGTTATCGTGTCTTTAACAAAGGGGAGTGTATGTGATGAGCACATGCATGGACCCAACGGTATCCTGCCTGCCGGTGGGAACCCATCTTGACATGCGGGTCGCTAAGCTTTTCCACATGATGTTCCATTTTGTTTCTCCCATTTTCTTTTGATGCCTTTCTATCCAAACACATTTCAAAGTTGTGGGGTTGAGAATTCATTATCTCTGGGAAATATGTCAGCTGATTGATTGGTTTCCAAGTAGCGAAATGGCTTTAATATTTGTCCATTGGAAAGGGTGCATTTTTCTTAGAAAAGCTAGGCCATCTTTTCTTTATTTTGTGTGCAAATCCTGGCAAGCTTGGGATAATGTGGAGAATGTATGTTTTCACCCAGCAGCAGGTAATGGCTCGAGAGTGAGTGGTAAAAGTTCTGCCTACATTAGAAGGGAAATGCATTGATTTTTACTGTGTTCAGATGCTGTCATTTGAAACACTTAATGAAATGTTGAATTGACAAGTAAAATTACTTTGCCACTTAATAGATTAGAATATTTTTACTCAATGTACCTATTATGCCAATCTCTCACTTATAAATTGACAGTCTTTCCACCTTAGGAAAAGATACATTTCTATAATCTTACTCTGATAATATGTAGACTTGACCATATAGAGGGAAGGAGCTAGTCAACCCGTACCTGAATTGTCACAAGTTGTCAATGTCCAGTTCACACAGATCAGACTGTGTTTGGGGGGGGGGGTGGCTTGTCCCCTCCGGTTTGCCTAAGAACACACTGTGTGTGCTTGTGTCATTTATAGTAGGAGGGGACCTCTTCTCAGCAGCCCCCTTCTGGTGGACCCTGGCCCTGTGCTCTGTCCATAGTGGCGGAACGTTGAGTACTGGATCCTCCAGCCTCCCATCCTGATTGACTTGTCACTGTGTGGCTTGTTGCCCATTTTACCATTTTTGTATTTAGCTTTCATTGCCTGTCTTCCCGGATTTCTCTGCTGTGCCCACTGGTGCAGCCCAGCACCTGGCATGTGGCCAGGCACAGTGTGAGTGTGAGAGCAAGTGCATATGAACCAAGGTGGCTTCTGTCACAACGGCCTGTTTTAAATCCAAAGAACAAGGCCAGGCGCGGTGGCTCTCACCTATAATCCTAGCTCTCTGGGAGGCTGAGATGGGTGGATTGCCTGAACTCACAGGTTCCAGACCAGCTTGAGCAAGAGCAAGACCCTGTCTCTAAAAATAGCTGGGCATTGTTGTGGGTGCCTGCTACTCAGGAGGCTGAGGCAAGGAGATCACTGGAGCCCAAGAGTTTGAGGTTGCTATGAGCTATGATGCCATAGCACCCTACCCAGGGTGGCTGAATGAGACTCTGTCTCATAAATCCAAAGACCAGACAAGCTGGGACTCCCTATTAAATGAACTGGGAAAAATAACATTATCTGTTGGAGCCCAGATAATGTTGGTTCTGTGCTCCGTGTCTCTAGCATCCTGTTCTGATTCCATCTGGTGCACGCAGCTTAAAATAAACGGTCATTCTCTTCATCCCTTTTATGTGGGAGTGTGGAAGGCAGAAGATGGCCTTTGAAGGTGCCCATACCCTAATCCCCAGGGCTTGTCAAGATGTAACCTTACACGGCAGAAGGGATTTTTGTGGGTGTGGTTAACTAAAGATCTTGAGGGGAGATGATCCTAGATTAAGCAGCTGAGCCCAAACTAAGCAGGTGAAACCTTAAAATTGGAGACCTTGCCCAGATTCAGTGCCCCATTGCTGGTTCCGAGATGTAGGAACCCATGGGCCCTAGAGACGCAAGGGCTTCCAGGAATACAGCTCCCCACTGACAGCCAGCAAGGAAGAGGGACCTCAGCCCTGTAATGTGTGGAACTGAATCCTTCTGATACCTGAATGAGAAAGGAAACAGCGTCCTCTGGAGCCTCAGGAAGGAACACGGGCGGCCCTGCCGACCCCTGGATCTTGCCTACATGAGACCCATACTAGACTCCTGACCTTCAGACTGCATGATAATAAGTTTGTCTTGTTTTTGGCTGTTACATTTGTAGTAATTTGTTCTAACAGCAATAAGAAAACATGACGTTTTTCCACTTCCTTTGTTTTGGATAATAACTATTCAGAGAATTGGTGTAATTACTGGAGTTCATTGAGCAGAAGAGAAGTAGTTGACACAAATGTGTAATACCTCATCAGGAGAACCATGCTTCCTAAGCACACATACACTGATTCTGGGTTACATAAGAAATGTTCAGAATGTTTAGTAAGATGCGTTAACCTTTCTCAGAACTGAAAAGAAGGAAGGATGGGTCGTTCCCTGATAGCAGATGGCGAGTACCAAACATATGGAATCCATGCTTGGAAAACTCATGGAGCATTTAGTGGGAAGGAGGCAGAACAGGCAAGGTGAGGAAAGAGAAAGCAGGCCTGTTGTCTGCGACTGGCACGTGTTGCTCTGACCCTGTTAGTGGGCGGAGGGAGGAGGAAGCCCTCAAAGGCAGCACCGCTCCCCTTAGTTGGAGACGGGAGGATCTAAGTCCCTAAAGCCAGGAGGTGAAGCAGCCTGATGACCTGGACTGCCCTGGAGTGTCCCCCTAGGCTGTGCACGCCTGGCTCTGCACACACAGCCCTAGATCCACTTTTTTGCCTCTGGAACTTCTGTAGACAGGATGAGAGAGAGATCGGTTAAGAGCAGTGGTTCGCAACCTTCCTAATGCCACGACCCTTTAATACAGTTCCTCATGTCGTGGCGACCCCCAACCATAAAGTTATTTTCATTGATATGGTTGGAGGTCACCACAGCATGAGGAACTGTATTAAAGGGTCTCGGCATTAGGAAGGTTGAGAACCACTGGGTTAGTCAGGGAACGCTGGACGGTGCTCCATGCTGGAGATTTTAACATCCATTACATCTTGTTCCATGTTATGTTTTCTATCCATTTTTATCAGTAACTGGTTTATTCTGTTACTTGCTGAATATTTTTTTTTTTTTTTAATCCCTGGCTTTCCATCATTCACCAGCAGACTGCTGCTCTTTATAACAGAGCACCTGTGTACCTGAACATTCCCTGGACGCCCATAGCCTAGAGTAGGAGGAGAGTGTGTGTGAGTGTGTCCTTCTGAGGTCTGCTCCATGCCCCCAGATAGTTATTAGCTGTAGGTAAGCCTCCTTGGCCATCCTGTCTAGCTTTGTCGATTTCCTGTGTACTCCTCTGGGATAAATTATTTTTGATCCTGCACTTTCTCATCTGTAAAATGGAGTAATTAGAACAGTTACTAATTACTGTTACTCCGGCAAATGAATTTGTTACTCCGGCAAATGAATAAAATAAAGCCCAAGAAGGCATGTTCCACATGCTAAAGCCCTGTGCATGTTGATTAAGGCCAGTCTTTCATGAATAATGAAGACAAGATAACAACACACACACACACACACATACACACACACACACACACACAAACACACACACACTGCGCTCAGCATCCCGTATGACTCTGTCGTGAAGTTCACAGCAATGTTAAACTACAGCTTTCTCTTCTTCTGGCTGAGTAGCGCTTACCCTTTCTTACCAATTCTCTTCTTTAACTCTTTACTTATCACTTTGTTCTTCTTAAATAATGTGCTAACCTGTATTTATAATATTTCAGGAAATGGACCATACTGAGCTTTTCCCACCTTTGGGCATTTGATTATATAGCTTCCTCTTCACTACAGGCCTTTTTAAAAAAAATGGTTTCATGTGATGGCTCATACTTAAACTGTATTAATTAACTTCACTTTTAGTGAATTGAAAAATTATTCTTTCATTTGATAGCTGCAATATTACTTGATTGTTCTCTGCAAACTTCTGCTAAGTATGTGGTTGTCTGAAAACCTCTGCTAACTAAGTATGTGGGTATCTGAGAACCTCTGGCAACTAAGTATGTGGTCCAAAGCTTCCTTTTGTTGGGGATTGGGTTTCCATAGAATTCTCTCTCGTGTGCTGATAATTTAAGTCCATCTTTCCCACTTTATACACCATTGCAAGACAGATGCATGGCCCTCAGGCATTCTTTTGTCCAGAATTTATTGACACCTAACATTCCCCTCCTTCCCAGTAGTGACTACACCAAGGCACACGTCATATCTCCTACCAAACTATGTTGAGGTCGCCTGAGGAGGTGAGATTTCTTTATGGAGTTCAACCGAGGCTCCAGAGACCCTCCTCCAAATAGGTCAGCTTTTTTTTCCCTTCAATACTTATTTGGGGTGCCACAGCCAGAAAAGCGTTCCTTTAAAGCCTCAGTTCTCAACCTGTGGGTCACAACCCACAGGAACTGTATTAAAGGGTCGCAGCATTAGGAAGGTTGAGAACCACTGCTTTAGAAGATCAGATCTATTGATCTTTTATGCCTGGGGGTCATTTCTGTTCAGCAAACCAATACCAAGCTGAGACCAGTTTCTGCAAATGCAGTAAGCATTTGGGAATGGAAAAAATCTCTGAGGAGCCAGTGCGTACCTGGCCAACCTTGCTGTTGCTAGACTGTGGGATCCTTGCCCAATCTCAATTTCTGCTACAGGTCAAGTGAAATATGTGTGAGCAGGGTGTGCTCATGCTGAGGTGCCCAGCAGCGGTACATGGTGACTTCAGGGCCTCCACTCTCCTGTACCTCTCTGTGCACCCTCCCTCTTCTGTGTGATTCCTTAGTGTCCCCTCTGCTTGTGCGCCCTCCACACATCATCCCCTGAACGTCTGGGTGGGTACACTTCACTTACTCCGACTCGTTTGTTTTAAGTTCCAGATTTTATTCTGGGTTATTTTTCTTTAGAAGAACACACATGGCCAGGAAATCCAAACACATTTTAATAATTAGCCTTTAGCAAAGTAAAACTAGGGAAGTCTTTTGTTTAAGAGAAACGTGACTGTATGGTGCCTCCAAGGCTGAGGAGAGATGATTGTTAGTTGACAATGCCTTGGTGCCGTGGAGTCCCACTCTTCCCCTGCACTGGTTCAGATCATGGAATCTTTTACAACTGACACACACACGTGTTCTGAAATAGTCTTTTGATATTCATGATTGCTTCTTGATAGAGATTCCCAGGCAGACCGTCATGCTCAGGGGTGTCACTGGCTTCTTGGTCAGTGTCACTGGTCTCGGTCACTGTATTGGGAAGAACTTCCCAGTCTCAGACACTGTATTTGAAAGAACTGCCTGGTCTTGGTCACTGGCACCTCCGGAATGTTCTCGCAAATGGACAGGATGTGCTTAGAGCAAGATCTTCTTGCACTTAGCCTTGAGAAGGTGAAACAAGGACTGAATTTAAGATGGGTCATTATCTTGGAAAAACTGAGGAAGATAAATTTGAATCTGTCTTTGAATTTCAACTACAGCAGCAGGTTCTGTGTAAACAATTAGATTCTCATTAAAGTCCACAGTAAACTTTAGGCATAAATGAAAGTTGTTGAGAATTTACTCTCTAGGGGAGTTAGGCCACATGATTTTCTAAGCATCTCTTTTCTGTAAAATGCAGAGTGAAGAGCGCCTGTCTGAACGTGCCTTGAATACTCACTTGGCAATGTTGTAGACTGTGCTTCCAGGAAGCCGCTCACTGGTACTTTTATCACTGCGTACTGGGAAGGAATAAAACAAACATCAAATCAGTGGTGTTGCCATGCGTAAGGTCCAAGCGCTGTACCCAGCCAGGGGACACAAGGAGCAGGCTCCTGCTGCCTGCAGCCGCATTCTCACCAAGGCCACTGTGCCACTGACGTCTGGGCCCATAATGCTTTGCTGTGGGGGCTGTTCTCTGGGAAGTGGCAGTGTCCCTGCTAAAATCATCCCCAGCTGAGAACCACAGCTGTAGGTGTACTGAGATTTTTGGTGAGGTAAATATCACTGGGAACACTGTGAGGTCAGATGCACCAAAAACACATGTTTAGACAAAATATTTTACTACGTGACCTCAGAGTGTCTCCTTAGAAAACCCTATTTGCCTGCAGTCAAGTGGCCGTAAGCTGACTAGGAGCAAGAACAGCTGCTTACTTCCTAACAACCTAAACCTCATCTTCCCTCTGACCTTAGTTTGCTGCACAAATCATCAGTCCCAATACAGGGAGAGCAAGCTGGGACAGGAACAAATATGTTGATTTGGAGGAGTGACAGGTACTTTCCAGCTTGTTGCACTTTTCATATTGTTCAGGGGGATTTTTACTGTTATTATCTGTAGGGAAGTAATTGGATTACATTTTTCATCTATATACTGCAAAACAGTTCCAAGCATTAACTTGTCAACAAACTCTGCATTATACTTTGACACGGGGGAAAGGAGAAAAAAAAAAAAAAAAACCTCCATCATTCTGGTTCTCAGGGTGGTGATTTTTTGCAGGCTACATATGTCTGTGCAGCACAATGGAATAAATCGCTGTATTTATAGAGTGTCTTTGGACCTTTAAAGACCTCTAAGTGCTGTAATTTTATGATATGTGCACTGTCCGCAAATGGTTCCAGTTATTGCTGTGGAGTGATGTTGCATTTGCTAAATAACTTCATTCGATAGCTATGTTATGCTTGCAAAACATACCTAGGATCTGTGATTTATTTTATTTTAAGGAATAGCCAATTGATGAGAGAGGCCGGATTTTGTCAGGGTGAATGTAAATACCTTAACCATAAATAACCTTTCTCTGAAAAATGCCCAGCTGCTTGTGGGCGGGAAGGTTGGGGTTGCAGATACTTGTTTTCTGGCCTGTGTCTGCTGCTGTGGCTTTGTTAATGATCTTCAGCACTTTCCTGCAGCCGCTGCTCACTGCGGCTCTGCTGCTCTGTGGGGTGGGTGTGGTCAGTGTCACGTCACACTGTTCCACTTTGTGGCGTGTTCAGGCTGAAGTTTGAGAGGAATGCTTTGATGCAGGAATGGCTGCAGGGACTCTTTGTAAGAGTGGATGGACCTCACATGAGGTTGGTATTGTACCTTTCAATGAATAAATAAATACATACAAAATAAATAAAAGTGGCTGCTTGCCACTGGGACACAGCGCTGCACGTGAATGTGCTTTCAGTATTTCAGTAAGCGAGCAGTTGAGACAGATGTGCATAAAGTTGCTGGGGAAAGGACCAAACATGAGCATCTGACTGGTGTATGTTGTCCCTGGGAAGACACGTGAACACATATTCCCTATGAAAATGAGCCTGGCTCCTAGTGCAGGCTGAGTGCCTTCTTAGTGGAGAGACACTGCAGGAAGCGACTGGTCTCTTTGGGAAACAGTTAGGAGAGAATTAAATGAGACGTTGTGTTTGAGGGTGTGTCACAGGGTCCACTGCAAGGATGTACACCTGGAGCATTTGCATAGGCCCCCACTACCAAAGGGGCCTTGCAGTTGGTTGAATGCCCTCCTGTCACCATCTTGGAATTCTTAATATTATGCTTTGTGAACATGGGCCCTGCGTTTGTGATTTGTGCAGGGTTCAGAAATTCTGTAGCTGATTCTGGCACCTCGCACCAGCCTGGCACACCAGCACCGCACCAGCACCCTTTAGCACATGGCTATTTCCTGTCTGCTTTGCTGTGGGAGTTCCTGTGTGGTGCTGTCATCCCTGAATCTGCCACTGCTGAAATCTGAGGCCCCAGAAGCTTCTTTGACCACCTGTCAGGAGCCTAATGCTGTAGAGCTGTCCCAGTTAGGACCTATCCCCTGGGACCCAACATGCCCCCGTGGCATGGGGCGAAGTCCTGGTTCATCCACTGGTGGGGGTGTGGGGTGCACATCATTTATCTTCATCCTTGTCACAAGGAGAGGATCAGATGGATGTGCCAGGTGAGAGACACAGATCCCTTTCCCTGTAGTGAGCTGGTAAGTGGAGAGAGGAGAGATGTCCGGGCAAGACCCCACCTAAGAAATCATCTGCCCAGTTCCATGTGCATGGTGCAGAAATCAGCAAGGCAGGAAGGGCTTGTCCAGTGTCAGGTCACAACTCAGGATTCTACACTGGTGATGGGCTCTCTCATTTACTTCAATTCATAATAGGCTTTTGAGAGCTGCCCTAAAAATCACACCTATGCTACTGGTTGGTGCAGTAAAATGCCTTCTGAGTTCTGAATAATTCTAAAGGAATCATTTACAAATCAGTATGTGGGCACATAATCCATTTCTAAATAATGTATGTTGAAAAAAAAATCACGCAATCTTTAACAAGAAACAGCCATAGAGTCCTTTACTTATCAGTTGAGAGATTATAGCTTAAAAAATATTCAGCATCTGAGGCTGTATGTTTTCACCTAGAACACTAACAATTTGGAAACCACACTGCAAAATAAAACATTTACATTTCAGAAAAGCCATCAGAGCCCAACTTCTTCTGTTATACGGAATGGTAATATCCTAACTGATGATCTTTTTTGACTGTTTAAATGGAAGATAAAGTATAATTGATGTCTTTACTTGCCAGGGTTCCGTTATCTGTCGTGACCATGTCACTAGACCTTAAAATGTTTCATTCCCTTAGCATATCCTAGTGACATAAATTAGAATCTCTGAGCTGTGGGCTAACCTCCTTTAGCATAATCAGAGGGGTTTGTTCCTCTGGAGAATAAGATGTTTACAGGTGGTGATAGAACATTAGAAATAATTTATTTGCAGCCTGCACACACTCAGGAATTGGGGCTCACTTTCAGTTTAATGTTGCCGTGACTTGGATGTGTACAATGGAAGTGCCGACTGTGTGTGTGTGAAGGTGATTAATTTAGAGAGTGTGGATTTGCACCTATCTCTTCAGAGTCTTTTCAGATATTAAAAATGTTATCTTTTATGTAAGTATGTACAGTGGTGTATTTGAAATATGTGGAACTTATTCATTTAATAAGATTTTTATAGCAAATACTAGATCAAATTTATTACATGAATGTTAGCGTCTGTCCTCATGAGCTGTCTCTTTCCTGTATCTGCCTAGGTTCTCTTAGCCAGCAGTTTCGTGCCCATTTATGCAGGACTAAAGCCAGTGGAGTACAAAGGGCAGGTAAGGTTGTCACTGAGGAGTGACCAGAATCCCCTTATTAGCATGTTTCTTTGGAAAGATCCAATTTTTTGCTTAATCTGGTAGCTCCAAATCAATTTATGTATATATATATATATATATTTTTTTTTTTTTTTTTTTTTCTTGTAAGTAGCTTATGAAAACCGAATGTAGGCACTGTGGTACCTTATCCTCAAGATCTCATGCATGGGAGTGATTGACTAGAAATGCTCTTATTTTCATCTTTTATCCCTTTTTAAATTTTTTCTTAACACAGTCAAAGATTTGTTCCTGCCACCTAGTAAAATGCTTTTGGCCTACTAGAAGCCAGATTTTATAGCAGGCTGGGAAAGGCTCAGGGGTCACACCCTGCCCAGCCACAGACAGGCTGTGCTCCATGCCTCCCCTCTACCCCCATGTTCTCCACTGGGAGACCACCCAGCCTCCTCCCAACTCCCATAGACCAGACACCTTTACCACTGAGGGCTGCTGGGCCTTTGCGTTTCTCTCCCCTCACTGAGGCTCCACAGCTCTGCTGGGACAATTTAGCTGTGGGCTAAAGTCAGCTCTCCTCTGCAGGCCCACACTGTTTGTTCCCAGCACCACTCCACCCTTGCCGGCTCCTCTGCCAGGAGGACATGCCAACAGAGGCGTCTGATCATCAAAATGCTGTCTGTTTAACATGTGCCAGACATATGCATTTCATAGTCCAAATAGCGTGTCTATTGAACACATACCAGAGATAGGCATTTTATAATCACGTATAGTATCTATGTACATATTTAAAACATTCTAGAGATACAGGTTTTATAATCAAAAAGGATTTAATGTATACTAGAGATAAGCATTTTATAATTAAATTCAGTAACTATTTAACACATACCACAGAAAATATTTTGGTTTTGTTTTTGAGACAAATTCTCACTCTTTTGCCCTGGATAGAGTACTGTGGCATCATCATAGCACACAGCAACCTCAAACTCCTGGGCTCAAGAAATCCTCCTGCCTCAGCCTCCCCAGTGCTGAGACTACAGGAGTCTGCAATAAGGCATGGTTAATTTTTCCATTTTTAGTAGAAACAGTGGTCTCTCTATTCCTAAGGCTGGTCTCAAACTTCTGAGTTCAAGGAATCCACCTGCCTCAGCCACCCAAAGTGTCGGGATTACAGGTGTGGGCCCCCATGCCTGGCCTAGACATATATTTAACATATACCAGAGAACCGGAAATATGTATTTTATAACCAAATACAGTATTTCACATATGCCAGAGATATACGTTTTATAATTAAGTATGGTATCCATTTAGTACATATGAGAGATACTTATTTTATAATCAAATAGCGTATCTACTTAACATATGCTAGAAATATATATTTTATAATCAAATAGTATCAGTTTAAAACACACCAGAGATATAGATTTAATAATGAAATAGAGTATCTATTGAATATACATAAGAGATATGCATTTATAACCAGAGTATCTATTGAACATATACCAGAGATAAGCATTTTATAATCAAATATCATATTTATTTATCATGTGCCAGAGATATACAGGGTATCCATAAATTTCATGTGCAATTTGAAATAGTTGTCTATTTTATAATGAAATAGAGTAGATATTTAAAACATGCCAGATATATGCATTTTATAATCAAAGACAATATCCATTTTACACATGGATTTTTTATTTTTTATAATCAAATATAGGTACAGCATATATCAGAGACCACGCACATGTTCACAGACAAATAAATGACATTGGTTTATATCTGTGTAATATGTGTATATTTATTCATGAGTGAGTACAAGCCGTGTTTTCTGTCCTTCCTTCCTTCCTTCATTCCGTCCTTCCTTCATTCATTCAGGCACTCACTATGAGGGCCCAGCACAGTCCTGTTCTCGAGGAGTTGATGGTCTCACCACAAAAGAACTGATTTTTACAATCCCCTTGGGTAATAGGATTGCAGAAATGTCCCTGCTCTGGTCTTGTTAGTCCTCAGAGTCCTCTTTCTTGAGCTTCCTGGAATCCTTTTTCATGCTGCCCATGTGATTGTTGGCCCAAGCCAGTCTTCCCGGGATGGTTGTGTGGCAAGGGCAGATGAGAAGGCTGAAGTGTGGGGAGGTGGAACAATAGGGTGAAGGCCACCTGGGATATGAAGAACAAGAGCCTGAGGGTTACTGTCATGTCTGTCAGACTATTTATTAGCCACATGTGTGCAATATAGTTTTTGCAGTGATGTACTTATATATTGCAGTCTAGAACCCTCTTTGTGCCCAGGTAGGATTAAAATCCATTTTGTTTGGTTTTTTTTTTAAAGAGCAACATAATATAATTTAGACATGAGCTCACAGAAGGCACAGGAGCTTTCCTATTTTTTCCTACTCTCAATACTATCTCTCAGAGCTAATAAATATTCTGTTTTCAAGTAAAGGATCATGTGTTTGTCATTTAAAATTTTACTTGAGATGTATCACACTTTAAATGCTAATTATTTTAGAATTAGTTAAGTATCATTTTCATTCTTGTTCAGTAAAATAAGTAAAAATCAACATTTATTTTTACATATAAAGTTTGAATAGAGTTAAAGGTGCTATCAAAATATACTTTTATTATGAACTTTAATTTTATAAGGATCTGAAATCTAAAATAACTTTTACTTCAAGCTATTGCTTTATACTGTACTTGTGTAAAAAATGTCAGAATGGTAAAGAAAAAAATCCTAAGACATTTCATGAGGTTATTGTATATCAGTGTGAAAAGGACATTAGAGATCAAAAGTCATCAGAATTGCTGATACAATCATAAATGGAAAGGTAATGACTGAGAAGATGGGATATAGGGTAGTATTTAAGCAAGGATTCGGAAGAAGAGAGAATAGAGTAAAAGTTCTAACAGCCGAGCCCCAGAAGCCTGGTGTGCTCTAAGGCTGTTCAAAACATTTTCCTGTTCATGTAATGTGAATAGCAGTATTATGAAAGAGGGGCGTGTGGTAGAGGCTCCAAGTTCTCACCCAGTGTACACTTTACTCTTAGTACTTATTTACAGAATCTCAATTTTTAGCCAAACCTATTGCTCTGTAGCTAGAAGGTGACACTTTCCAGCTTCCCTTGCAGCTAGATGTGGCCATCCGTTTAATTACTGGGCATTGAGATGCAAAGTGGATTATTAGGGGACTTACAAGAAGGAAGGTTGTGTGCCTTTCTTTCTTTCCTGTTTCCCAGAACTTAGATGTGATGACTGGGGCTCCAGTAGCTATGGTGCACCATGAGGTCACTTATCCTATCCCGGAGATGGCCACATAGTGAGATGTAAAGTCATGGGTTGGGTCCTGAGTGATTTGGGATATGTGACCCAAAGACTAGGAGTGGTTGGAGCCTCTTATGTAAGGAATCAGAGGGACTAAGGAGGTATTGCATGTGACTGAATGAATACTTTGCACATGTGTACAGAGTGACAGCCACCATTCAGCAGCAGGGAACACGGGCCAGGAGCTGTGACAAAGATGGGAGCCATCCCACCCACATCCCTTGACCATGGACGAAGCCCTGGGACACTGTCTTGCTGATCATTTGGTGTCTGTACACAGAAGGCACATCATAATTACTCGTTGAACTGTTGAACCTTGCACCTCCCGAGTGCATTCAGTTTTCCTTTGTTGTGGGAGTGTCCTTCTCTGCTTGTTACTGATTCCCTATAAGCATGATCACCTCCCACAGTCTAATGGGCTTTACATACCAAGTTATTTTCTACAATTTTTCCTTTCCATTTTCAGGGAAATGTGAACTTTGCTTTACATGTGGTGTTTTCTTGTGGGTCTAAGCTTTTTGTGTGATTTAAATTTCATAAAATGTTTTAATTGTGCTGAAAACATCTCTCATGTTCTAGATTCTGGTGTTTCCTGGAGCTCAGGTTTTGATTGGTTTGTTGGCTTTGGTTGTTTTTCTAAATGGAGGAAGGCCAGGGTGGAAGAAGGGGAAGGAAGGCCCTCGGTGCTGGTTACGTGTGTGGCACAGTCACCTGAAGTGGACAAAGTGAGCAGCCACCCATAGCAGCAAAGGCCACGTTCTTCTCTTGTGCCTTTGGTTAAATAGGTAGACCTCTTTGTTTCCACATCCGGTATGACTTAAGTATTGAGCATACTGGATTTTATTAAGATCCATTTGTGTATCCAATATTTCTAATCACTTAAAAGCATTTTACTTTAGCACAGACCACAGCAAATGACAGTATGAGTCCTGTCTAAACCTCAACCCATGCATAAGAGTAGTATGATGTCTTTGAAAATTACTTTTTAAAAAAAATGAATGTAAAGTTTGTGTAGGTTTCTCTGGTTTCATGTTATGACTTTTAGCACTTATAGTAGTTACACATTACTAGTGGAATCAGTGAATGGAGGGAAGTGAATTGAAGTCAAGTCTTATATTTTCCTGCAGTGCATATGGGGTCTTTCCAGTGATAGAATAAGCCGCAGGAATGGTCACACCATGAGGCCATATTTTCACAGACTCTTGTCATCAATTTAGAGTAAGAATGAGAGATCTGGAGAGAAGTACTTAACTAATATTTTTAAAAGAGCATTACTATTAGCAAGTGACTAACATAGCAAAATAGAATCATCTCCAGAACTAATATATGTAGATCAGAAGAAAAAGATGTAGGAATTTATGTTGTTTTCTTTTGTCTGAGTTATTATTCAAGTAATATTTTGACTCTGTAACATAAAGACTATAACTAAAGAATTTATCTTTGCATCACTCTCATCCATTGAGGCTTTGGCATTATGGGTTATTAATCCTTTCATTATTGATGTGTCTATAAAAAAGTGAATTGTGGAGTACTCTGTGTTACTATATATTTATACAAAGTTGGTACTGTGGTCCTGGGGCTCAGATTTCTGTGTTTCTTCCTGTCTTAGGCTTTTCACATGGAAATGTAATTCCTGCACTGTCAATAGCAAACTCAGTAGCTGGCCTTGCTACCAGCCAGATTTGGCTAGAG